CTCCCTCCCTCCCACTCTGTCTGAAGATAAATAGAAAAATATCCTCAGGTGAGGGTTAAAAAAAAATTCCTCTGCTCAGTTTACCATCTACCTGAGGAATTAATAAATCCAGTCACGAAAGGTTACATAGTTCATCAAAGATGTCAACCCAGGGTTCCAACTTCCAAAAAAAAAAGCAAAAGGAGAAAAGAAACCTTGACTGTCATCTGGACCAAACATCTCATTTTGCAGATGAACAAAGTCTCAACAGGGATATAAAGGAACTCATTAGGGAGAGAAGCAAGATTAGGGACCGTGACTCAAAGTCTAATTAGAGGTACAGACACTAAGTACTGTAGAAGAGAAAGGTGGCCAGCCCCCAGCAAGAGTGGGGGTTGGGGGAGGCCTGGACAGTTGGTGGGATTTTGGTCGTTAGAAGCGAAGGATGTGTGGTGTTTAGAATGGGGCAGGACCTGGAGCAGCACGAAGGGGAGGATGTGGTGACCTTCCCGTTGGGAGCTGTTGGAGGCACATATGAAGACGCACTGGGGAGGGCAGTGGAAGCCCACGGATCTAATGAGGGGGCTGCTGAGTGCTGGGGAGGCAGACAGTGTTGTGGTCATGAGGGCTGGGCTCCAATCCCAGTCCTGCCTTAACTCTGCACGCCTGAGGAAGTGACTGAACGCTCTTCATCTTGATGAGAAGGCAGCACCAACCACTTCTCATAACACGTGCGAGTTAAATGACTAAACATAGGTACGGTCGGTCACAGGTATCAGCTATCTGCTGGGTCCAGGCACTGCTCAGGTATAGTATCCAATGGTAAACAAGAACAGAAGAGGGCTTGCTCCCCAAAGAACTCACAGTCTACCTGCAGGAAGCTAAAAATTAGCAGGTAAACAAAGAAAATAATTTTCTGGCATGAAATGCTCATGCAGGAGGTAAAGCACCCAGGAAAAGGGCGGAGATAATGACGGGCGGTGATGGTTGACGTTGAGTCCTTTCTGCCACAATTAACACTGCACTGCGGCTTCCTGAAGGCCACATCACTTTCCACCTGCCCGCTCAGGCCACTCCTGCTATTGCTTCAACAGGGACTAGGAGCCTCCTCGTCACCCATGAGCATCTTCCCCAACCATTCCCCCCCGGGCTGCTCGAGAGAAGCAAAAGATGGCTTGGTTTTATTTCCTCTACTCTTCTCGGCTCTTCCCAGAGTGACCTTGCTAATGAAAACACACAAACTGAATAAACACTTGGAGAAGAAACCATCTGCTTCATCCTAAAAACATCAGTAGAAAGCGTGTTTGTTTACCAGCGGGGTCATGAGGACAAGACAAATAAAACCTTCTCAGGAACCTGAAGGGGTGATGATAATGGTGGGGAGAGGAGGGGCGTCATTAACCCTTTCAGATACTCCAGAGTCAGTTGGTTTTACTACCTCTGGTTGGAAGAGGAAGCTACATATATCATAAACCACAGGGTGAGGCTTATTTGCACAGCTTTTGCCACTTAAAGATGATAAAACGCCGGGAAAGCATTCACTGTAAGTATTGTTTTTGAACTTTCAACTCTGCAGAGGAAATACCTAAAAAGACTATTGCCCAAGTTCAAGAGCAAAGGCAGTGGTAAAACTAGCTACAGAGTGAAAAAGGCTGACGCTCACTGCTGAGGTCTTTGAAACGATTAAACTCTTAAATGCTTTTTTTTTTAAAGGCTATAAATAGCAATGGAGGCAATCTTGAAGAGTATTTGGTTATCTGTGCCAGGAAATGTTTAGGGAATTTGCATGTACAATGATGACTTTGCCTAGATTCATACTCTACAAAATAAGAAAAGGTCAGGAAATTCAATCCCCAAGGGCAAAAAATGGTTCAGAGAAGGACGTTCCCAAAGGAACACTGTGATGACCTGTGGCCGTGTGCCCTGCTCATCTGTGTGGCAAATGTGAGTGAGCAAGGAGCATTCCTTCTCTTGGGCACTCCATCAAAGGAGGGACCACGTGTGGGTGAGGGGACGGCTCCAGGGGCACCTGGCATTGATGAATGCACAGTGTCAAGTTTTGGAGCAAAGTTTTAAACCACTTATGGGGAGCTGGGTTTCTTGCAATCCTGTGTCACTCTTCCCCAATCCTGAGCACAGTGTCTGAGTCACCCTGGCCAGCCTGATGCCTTCCAGCTGCACCAAGGCCTGGCTGTTTCAGTTCTTAAAAGAGCACAAGGTAGCAATTTAGAATCAGCTTAGTCAATAAAAATGCTGATATCTGCCTTTCTCTACCAACACTTATAGAAAACATCTGTTGCCCAACGGTTCAGAAGGAACATTCCAACCAAACTAGAAAAATAAAAATAAAACATGAATGGATGAGGCATATGAAAAACTAACATTAATTCTACTTATAAAGTAAGCTCATTTCAACATTCAGTCCGAAACATTAATGAGCACCTACTACATGCCAGGTGCTGAGCTAAGTGCCAGGGACGGGACAAGGTCCCTGCCCCAAGAAGCCAACAGTGAGGTGGCAAATGGACGTCAATACCACTTAGCATTCTAGTATCAAGCTCACAGTATGTGCCAAGACTTGTTCTAAAAACTTTACTTGTATCAACTTTTTTTAATTCTCATAAAATGAGGTAGAGTTTATCAGCCTCACTTTACAGGTGAAAAATTAAGACACAAAGAAGTTAAGTGCCTTGTTCAAGGTGATCAGTAAGTTAATAGGAGAAGCTGATATTTGAACCCAGACAGTCAGATTCCACACTAGTAGGTGGTATGAGCAAACAGGTCTAAAAGAGGGAAGCAAAAGCCCCAGCCACTGCCTCAAAGAGTTGGCATCTGGGTAAAATTGTAGGGCCTTTAAGAGTGCATAGGAGCCCTGGCCAGTTTGGCTCAGCGGTTAGAGCGTCTGCCTGCAGTCCGGAGAGACCCGGGTTCGGTTCCCGCTAAGGGCATGTACCTCGGTTGCAGTTTGTCCCCGGCCCTGGTTGGTCGTGCGGTGGCAGCCACTCGATGTGTCCCTTCACGTCGATGTTTCTCTCTCTCTCTCCCTTCCTCTCTCTCCCTCCCACTCTATCTGTACAAAAAAAAAAAAAAAAAATGGAAAAATATCCTCGGGTGAGGATTAAAAAAAAAAAAAAAAAAGAGTGCATAGGAGTTTATGGGCAGGGGGTGGGGAGCATAAGAAAGGTCCCCTCCAGGCAGAGGAGCTACAAATACAATGCACAGACATCAGAAATTGCCAAGTAATATATAACTTTAAGAGATGGAAACATATTTTTATTCCTATTAGGCAGAGAACTCCTATATAGTTCCTAAGCAGAAGCTAAGAACAGAGTCTTGACATTCTTTGGTTTAGGGAAACGAAAGAACTGCACCTGAATACAGTACAGTGCTTCCTGTGGTCCGTGCACACAACAGCAGCATTCGATAGCTCCCACGTCCAAACCCAATACAGGAACACCATTTAATAGAATGTGTTGCTAGAGACTTGGGCTCAGAAGTCCTTAACAGTACCAAATAGGAAATACTGAAACACTGAAACTAAATACCTCACCAAACCAGTCTGGCAATGCAGAGAAAAAAAACTGCAGTGGGGGGAGAGGGGGCGGACCATACTTTCGAAAAGGCCTAATTCTAACAGGCTAGCAGATGCGCTCCTCAATTTATTTTTACAATTTCAGCAGATTAGCAACAGCTTTATTCACCAAAAGACGAAGATGTTCCCAAGGCCTAGCGAGATATGAATTTCAAAACAAGAAAATTGGAAAAACACAAAGGTTGTTTGCAATGTGCAATAAATTGGTGGTTTTACACATAGCTATTCTGAGGCTTATCTTTCCCTGAGACAATGATAATTCACACTCTCTGGACAATATTCTTTGAAATGAATATAATTTACTGAATCATATCACTTAAATGATTAAATGATGGGTTACAGACGTTAATGCCGACTTAAATTTCAGTCACTCTAGCCAATGAGAATAATAGGAGGATCGGCTCCACTTTAAAAACAGGTTATGTTCCCAAAGTCAGTTTATAAGTTGGCTGTTAGGAATTCAAGAGCTATTGTCTTCCCCCACAATGTGAGAGGTAGTGCTTGGTACCCGAGAACATGGGAAATGAGATCCAAAGTGTGCTAAGAATGTTATGGACTCTAATCCGTGTATGGGATGATGATTCTTGAGGAAAGTGGAGAGAGTTCTGGGGAGCTGGCCACACACATCTCACTCCCCCCGCCTGGGAACGAGGAGCCCTCCAGCTGTACATAACTGGTGGTGGGTCCCTCCTAGCAGGAGCTCTATTTATGGAGGAGGTTGGGGAGGATGAGGGAGGGCAGGGGAAGCGGGGCCGGGACTCTGAGGAAAACAGCAGAACCATGGGGGTGTGGGGCTCCCAATGCTGGAAGAGGCCAAGATTTGCCTGCTCCTTCTTCCCAGCCCAGCTCCCAGACACTCCTTAGCTCCGCCCCTGGGGGGTGGGCCTCTTTCCTTCCAGCGCTGCCCCCCTGTGGGCTACTCCCCACTCCTCACCCACAAGCATGGGCGTCAACTGCTCTTCTGACATGAAAACACCATAAGGGCTTCCATGGTTTCTCAGAAATTTTCTTGCCAGTACCTTAGAGCAGTGGCGTGCACACACACAGAGAAACTGCCTGTAATAAGCAAATTAAATAGAGATCCAGCAACAAGACCACAATTCTCTCCTATTCAAATATATATAATACATATGTATATACATACACATATATATATATATATATTTGTATATGGAAAAATCAATCACATTCAAGTGATGTGCCACTGACATCATTATATAGACGGTTCACACATAAATCTAAAAATCAGACAGCTAAGAACCAGAACAGGTCAGAGGAGCATGCTGGGGGGAAGGGAGGGGGAGGGAGGTGCAGAATACACACACCTTCTTCCTGCCACCTCATGTCCCTGAAACATGGGAATGAGATGAACCTCCCCATGCTGAAGGCTTCCCACACACTTGAGTTCACAGATACACCCCCAACTTACTGGAACTTCAAATGCCTCCTGGGTGTCATCCAGCATTTGGATTTTGATGGACATGAGTTTTCCTGAAGGCGTTGGGGGTGGCTTCTGTCCATGTTCCAAGGTACTGATCCCCGAATTCTCTGGGGCCCCCAGTCGCGATCCTGGAGTTGGCCTCTGTTCTATTTCTCCCATGATGAGAGCAGATTATGGAATATCTGCAGGAAGCAGTGAGAGAGAGAGAGAGAGAGAGAGAGAATCAATCAGAGAGGAGACTCACTCATGTAAACCACCTAAGTAACACCTGTCTTCTGCCCTTCACGGTGGGAGTTTCCCCAAACCACACCGGGCTCTCCACTGTCTGCACAGGCACCACACAGTGAGAGGCTCCAGTCCCTTTACTAACAAGGTCACCTTCAGCCACTCAAGGGATGCAAATAGTGGTGCGTGTTTTATTCTTTCGCATATTTTTACATATTTTATCCTTTCCTTGTTTTACAGTCAGCTCTTTATTCATTATTCGCACCACTGGTTCAGTTGTGTTCAAAACTTTATTCAGTTCTACAATGAGCTAGGCACTATTTTTTATACATTCTGAGTCTGGTGGGAAGATAATGAACAGTGCTTAAGCCATATCATTAGCATCCATTAATTACCTTTTACGGACACGCTAACATACTGAATACTATATTACAAAGATAAATAGATAAAACATACATTGTGGCACACAAACACAGGTGATATAATAATGTAGGGTCTTTTCTCGTGATTTCTTCTGCTTGTTTCTATGACAATTACCTCCTGAATTCATTTTTTCCTACCTCCCAAGCTGTACCCCCTTTCCCAAGTACATATTATAGTATCAAGAGTTATTTTCCTAAAAACAAAACAAAATCATCTTTCCTTTCCAAACTGTCCGCTCTTCTCTCATGATACACCCCACTCCCTATCCCCCACACCCCACTCTCCACACCTCACTCCCCACACTCCACTCCCCACTCCCCACTCCCCATGGCTGTCTGGCTCCAGGTCTTCACATGTGTAGCTGTTCTCTCTGGCTGAATGCTTTGCACTCGTTCTCCACCTGGTAGTTTCTATCATCACTTTAAAGTTCAGTTCGAATGTCCATCCCTGACACCTGCGCAGGTGCTGCTGCTGCTCTTGCTCACGACCCTGCCAAGCTTCAGCACGGCGATCAGTTCCCGGTCAGTTCTGTCTGCAGTGCCTGTTTACTTCCCCCATGACATCAGAACCCTGAAGCAGAAACCAAATATTGAACATTCTTGGGACCTCAGCACCTACCCAGGTACAATGCCTGACACAGAGTGAAGTTCAATGATGGCTGCTTGATGACTGGACCAGTACATCTTTACTATGACCAATATCTTAAGTGTCACAGAGCCCAGAGAAATGAGATTTCAATGTGAGGTGAAGTGTGTGTTTTTTTAAGGGAAGGGAGGGCTTCCCTCATAGAGAAGGTAGAGATTCAATTCAGTGTCGTCTCAGAGGTTCGGTAACACTTGAAAGAACACAGAAATACACAAGGAGAAGGCATGCCAGGAATGTCAACAGCAGCAACAAAGCTGTGGGGCAGGTTTAACATGCCATACAGGAAGAAGAGTGAGAATGAATGCCGGGGAGTTAAAGATGCTTTTGGAAAATAGGTTGGAATCGGACTATAAAGAACCTCAAATGCCGAGTTGAGAAATGTGGTCTTGACGCCGTAGGTGGTAGGGAGCCCAGGGACAAGAATAATAACAGAGTAAAACTTTAGAAAAATGAATCTGAAAATAATATATACTATGGAGTGCCAAAAGAGAGATGGGATGGCAGGGGCTGGGGTGTCCAGTTACAAAGCTACTGCAACAATTTGTGCTTTGGGGATAACTCAGACAGCAGTGATAGAAATAAAAAGGTAACTGTGTAAAAGCCACTTCTGTGGAACAATTACCCTGATGTTATAATTGGTTAGCTACTGAGAGGACATAAAAGTATAATAAGATCAGAAAGTTTTAAATCAGAGGAAAGGAAGTTGGGGGGGGTGAGTTTGGGGACAGTTTAGGGTTACATAAGGACACACAGTATAGGCTGTGGCGGGGGGGGGGGGGGCTGGATGTGAACTATGGATACAGAATCCATCCTGTACAAGTGAAGGCCAGTGAGGGGGGCAGAAACAAAAAAGCAGAAATAACCAACATGCCCAGCCATGAGGTCTGTTACTTGTTAACCTGCGTTCCCCCATCCCTAAATTTATGTTGATGCCCTAACTCCCAGTATGTCAGAATGTGACTGTTTTTGAAGAAAGGTTCTTAAAAGAGGTAAGTTAAAATAAGGCCATGAAGATGGGCTATAATCCAAATGACTGTTTTCCCCCAGCCATGAGGTCTGTTACTTGTTGACCTGCGTTCCCCCATCCCTAAATTTATGTTGATGCCCTAACTCCCAGTATGTCAGAATGTGACTGTTTTTGAAGAAAGGTTCTTAAAAGAGGTAAGTTAAAATAAGGCCATGAAGATGGGCTATAATCCAAATGACTGTTTTCCTTTTAAGAAAAGGACATTTGTAGACACACCAGGGATACGCGAACACAGAGGACAGGCCATGTGAGGACACAGCGAGACAGCAGCTCCCTGCAAGCCCAGCAGAGGCCTCGGGAGAAACCAACCTGCTGACACCTTGACCTGACACATCTAGCCTCCAGAACAGTGGGAAAATAAATTTGGTTAAGACACCCAATTTGTGGCACTTTGTTATGGCAGCTCTAGCAAACCCATACAAGGGTCACTGCAAAAGACGAGAAAGGGGCAATGACCCAGTGACACTCAGTGGCAAAGAAAGCCATGGATGACCCTCAAGGGGTCACTGTGGTGTGAAGTACAGAATGAAGTGCTGTGTTCCTTGCACATTTGAAAATGAGTCTCCCTTCAGCTCTTTTCTTCAGAAAAACCATCCAGTTTGTGGTCCTATTTTGTAGGTTCTTCTCGCCCAACTCATGCTCTTCCTTCTCCTTAAGAGTCAAGTTCCAGAAGTTTCCCCATCAAACTCCATATGAGAACACCTCCCTTCCTCTCAGCAAAACCTCTAACATTTCACACCACGACCTGGAGGGGTGGCCCTGAGGTCAGCAGGTCAGAAACAACAGCGTAACCTCAAACCACTTGGGGCGCTGACTCACACCACCCAGGATGAAAATGACACATCCTTTGATCGGGCAGGAAAAGGGTCTGATTGGCACCTAGGAGCCAGTATTTACTTATTTCTTCCACACACACGCTTTCCCTACCAACTTTCCACCACAGCCTGTAGGAGATTATTATTCGTTCTCATGTGATCCTGTAAGACTGCAGTTCTATGACAAGGCGATGCTAGTTAAGGACCAGCCTTTCTAAGAATTACTCCTTCTTTTTTGAATGACCTGTGATTTCACAAGACTGCTACATAAGTACTTTCTAATTCTGTTTGGTTGGGTGATCTGTGCTTTGTTTAATTCACTCTATCAGTGTCGAGAGATGCGACTAGACCTTGTTCATCTATAATGCCTAGCACAGTGTCCTATAACAAACTGAAAGAGAGATCATCAATATTCACTCCATGAATCAAATCTGAGCGGTATACATTTAATTAATTATTAAATCAGTTGTGTTTAAAATAATCTCCACAAACCAGGACAAACTACGTTCCTATGTTTTCTCTTTGTTGTCTCATGATTAAAAATAAATGCAACCACCAGAGAAAACTATCTCATCAAGCCAGTTGCCGCCCCCATTCCCAGCCTCTTCTTTGTACTTCTCCTTCCTTTTGGTGTTGACTTCTCCCTGCCTCTCCGAGCAGCCTGCCTCTATTCCTGCCTTCTCTGCCCTGCACACCATCAGAATGAACAGGCTCTGCCCTCAGACGCTGATGCTGGGCCTGGCCACTTGGTCTCCGACTGCTCTGAGTCACAGAGGCGTGGGCCCGACTGTGGCTCTGACTTCCATCCACAGAGCTGATGGAAGGGCCTCTTCTCCCATGTGACCCCGTCTCAAAGGTGCCTAAGGCCCCTCACTCACTACAAATGTATTTTTCTCCTTGTCCTACCCAAGCAAAGAGCAAGGCCCCTCAACCCCTAAATTAAATCCTGACTCTCCTGGCCCAGGGTCTCCAGATGAATACACAGGGTGGGCAAAAATAGGTTTACAGTGATGAACACACAAAACAGTTTATTCTTGTATTATTGATTATTGTATTATCTATTATTATTATTATTATTAACCTACTTTTGCCCACCCCTGTATATTGTCACTGTTAGCTTCTTGGCCTATAAAAATCAAACTGAGTTAGTGATTCACAGATACTTAACTTCCTTTTTCTTTAGTCTTCCAATGACTTCATGCCTATATTATTTCTACTTCTGGATGTTAACGTTTAAACAAAGTATGTCACACTTTCTTTTTGTTTTCATACTTGCACGCAGACTGTTGCTGTACATGGAAATACTGTTTAATTCAAATATAAATCCAGCCAAGAGTTCTCAGTTGAGCATCCTAAGAATGTCAAGGGAATATCTGAGGAACGCTGGCAAGTCATAAATGGGTAACCACAACGGATGCTTGATAGCAAACCTGGTGAGTCCAGTAACGCAGCACGGCCATCTCAGTGAACAAGCCTAACAAACCAAAAGGCCTCCTGTTTATAAATATCAAGCCATGCTCTGTTCTGATTTTACCTCCCTGAATTCCTCGGACCTCTGATTTCCTTAGGGAATAGTCAGAGTAAAGGAAATCAGTAGTTCTTTCCTTGTGATACACTGTACTAACACGATTATTTCAGACCTAAAAATAAAAGGCTGTTTGTGAAACTACTTTATTCTTCAGATCTATGTAAAAAGTTAGTTACAAGGAAATAGTAACTACAACAAAAAGTAATAGAATAAAATTTTTAACTGGTGGAGAAAAGATAAAAAACTACAGTTGTCTTGTCATAGTATCCTGGCTTAATGACTTCCTCTTGGAAGTCACCCAAAGGCAGTAAGGCACACACAAAAGACATCTGCAACTCTGAACCATAAAATGTGACAAGAAGTTGCCAAACTGCAGGGAAGGTCAGACAGAGGAGAAGGAAAATGCTTTAAGAGGCTCCCCATGCCTGCAGAGCCACACTCCCCAGACAGAAGAATATCCTTAGCAACACACCCAGCACTAGCTTTCTGGGAACAAGGGGAACAGATGTGCAGATAAGC